ATTAGGAAAAAAAAAAAAAAAAAAAAAAAAAAGGTAAACAAAAGTCAGCGAAAAAAATATATAAAAAAGTAGTATTGGGTTAAGAAAGTGTACTTGAAAGAATTAAAAAAAATACTACTTTATTGAGGGAAATATTTTTCTTTTAAGAAAAAAAGAAGAAGAAAGAAAGTAGCTTGAATATAAGAAAAAAGGAACAGTTTACCGGTTGGTTATAAAAAAGGACTTTTGCTATGATTGATAAATTTGATACAGAACTATATCGCTCTAAGTTGAGGTTAATAGGTGCTTGAGCACCCAAATTTTATATATAGATCCGCCCATAGTTGCAAACATATTAATTGGTCTTTTGTGCATGTTCCCTTCTACCTTTTTAGTTAATCTATCATTAGCAAAGCCTTGTGATGATACCGATTAGGAGAGCAAAATATACTATCACAAAGATTGTTGCAACAAAATACAGTCCCAAATTAAATTAAGAATTACTTTTGTAAACCTACATACTGTTATATTAAAAGTCAATATATTTACATATAACCAGAGATGTAAAACAAAGAAAATATAATCGGCTCCACAAATAAGAATAAAGCACACTACAGAAACTTATCATAAAGGGGTATCACCCCATAATAAAGATAAGCCATCAATTAAGAACATAAATAGATAAGAAAAATATGAATATTGTACATGCGGCGTGACCGAGTCCTGAAAGAAGAATGATATTTATAGCATGTTTGGCCAAACTTTTGGAAAAAAAAAAGTACTTAAGAAGCAGAAACAATTTTGGAGAAACAGAAAAAAGTAACTTTTCTCCAAAAACACTTTTTTGAAAAACACTTTTGAGAAAAATACATTTAGAAATAATTTTTAAAAGCTTGGCCAAATACTAATTAGTGCTCAGAAGTATTTTTCAAATTAATTAGCCAAACACAAACTACTTTTTACCAAAATTATTTTTGAAAAAAAATACTTTTAAAAATAAACTAATTTTTACAGCTTGGCTATTAATCTTTCTTCAAATCCTAAAGAAAGAAATGACATTTTCAATCATTTCTCATAATTGACTAGACGTTAACATTCTAATATTAAGAGAAAGATACACACACAAAAGGCAAGAGTCTAAGTCAATAGAGGAGCAAAACTTGGATGGAGTGTTAGTTGTGTTTGGACATGAGTCTGGTACACTTGATCAAAGGTGCTCATGGCATGGACATCGAATGAGTAGTAGCTCATAAATTTTTTATAGAACTTATCAACCTTTAGGAACGTTCATAGCGATATGCATGAGTCCATAACATCAATAAAACTAAAACACAAAGAAATATCCACCAACATTTTCTGGCCCAATGATCAGAATCTTTTATTAAGATAAAGACAATGCAATAAGTAGATGTAAAGCAGTTAATGGCTGGGATCTATAAAGCCGATATTTGCACACAAAAACTTCACAAGCAACTGGAACTATGTGCTTGTACATGAACGTTCTTGACGTTTGAGATGTTAGAATGGGCAATTAGACCTAAATTAATGAATTGGGCTTCCCCAAGGCAAAATCCTTCTTATGCAGCTACCCAACCCAACATTTAGCGGTATGCAGCAACAGACTACTAATGTAGAAACCAAAACTGGAAAGGTCAGTTAGACATGGTTAAGTTAATTTGCTATTTGGATCCTATGAGGTCAGACAAAGTGCTCCGTTGGATATTCATTTTCATAACCATTATAATCATAATATAGCCTCTCCCCCTTCCGTATATCTCTGCTTGCGATCAATACAACTCTACTTTCACCATTAACATCAAATCTTACACACTTCACATTTTGCTTCTTCTTCCCATCCCTGCATTAGAGGAAAATATCCATCATTCAGATACTGATTCCAAATATGAAGCATACATTTAGGCCTACTTGAGATATAATGCACCTCAGTATTAATACCTCAACTTTTAGCAGAGTGCATTAAGTTTATGATGAAATCACCATATATTCAGAAACCTTCTTTTGGAGACAATGAAAAACTTTTGACATGATTTAGTGTATAATACCAAAATATATCATAGCATTAGAGGACGAAATGAAGAGGAGAGCTCAAAAGGACAAGTATTAGATGGATGGAATATGAACATACCGAGTATGGTTGTTTATGCCATTGATGAACCGAGCAATGTTGCTGCGCTTATCAGGACAAATGACAAGGCTTTTTGAAGGATCACCAGCAGTTAAAAGAGTCATCATGCTATCTCCATCATCAGTCTCCCGATTCTTCAAATAGTCAACGTCTCCAACATACTCTGTAATAATTGTCAAGTCTCTTATGAACCTGTCTGCTTCCACAGTAAATCTGATGAATGAGAACAAACAGATCATTTTCAGCCTCCAAATAGGAAATATTTAATGAAATGTTGATTTTTGAATAAGTTGGAAAAGAAGTTAAGAATGTCTACCCTTCTTTGGGATCAAAAACAACCATAAGAGGTGGCCATTCACCCCGTTCCACCATCTTCTTGCATAGATGCAAAGTTTCTATATCATCTTTTGGTAACACCTGTAGTTGAGAAATATAACAAAAGTCTTAACATTTAGAATGAATCAAGTAACACACCATGCGAAAGCAGCTTGAGTTTTTCTGACCAAAAGAAAATTTAAAATCCTTAAAAGATCTCTCCTTTTTTAGTTACTTTTGACATTTACAGTTGCTATTGCTTTCTTCTTTGGCAAATATTTTAGATTACGTAGAAATCAAAAGGGGTATGTTTTACAAAGTGATAAAGCAAAATTGTACTATATTTTTTGAATTGTCGTTCTTGGTATTTCCAAAGCTTAGTTCATCATTACCCTGCCAACTCTGAAGTCTAACACATTTTTTTGGCCAAAATATAATGTTCCCAATATTTCTATGTTTTACTATACCTGCATCCCGTCTCGTTCAAGTGCAGCACGATTAGCTGATCTTGCAGCCATGCCTGACATATAAGTAAGCTCATTACTGAATTCTGCTCCAGCTGTTGTCAAAGCCATAGCAAGAGACGCCATTTGTTCCAGTCTCCTGGTAGGATCCTCACAAGGATTGAAGGGAAGCAATCTTCTCCTCTTCTTCGACACTACCAAGCTACTGCTACTACGCTTTCGTTTCTTTGGGCAATCTATAGAAACAAAAGCAACGAAGGATCAAGATCACTCACTCTTCAAGTAATAAGAGGCATGGAGAGGTAATGAAACCATAAACAAATTAAGAACACACTGACGAGACCTTGAAACGACTTTTACCTGGATTAAGCTTGTCAATTGAATTTGTTGGTCTCTGAATCCGGAAAAAATCAACAATTTTTGTCTGAACAAGAGGAAATTCTGCATATCAAAGGAAAATGTAGCTATTAATCACCAAAAGGAATAGGTTTGAACCAATCATGTGGTATTATCCCTTATATTTCTCCCAACATGGAAACAGCAAAATTCAAGATACATATGTTTTACATGTTGTGAATTTAGTTGTTGCAATCATCTATGGAAACCAGGTTGCTGTAAGACAAACACAATTGTGACTATCTGCCTATATACTACTTAAAAAAGAGAAATGGAAAAAAAGGAAACACTAAGATCAAGATTTTGGGATTGTGGTAGTTTAGCATAGTTCTTTCAAGTTAACCTCATTCAGTCATAAACGGAATTTGCATGTAAGTATTTGGTACACACACCTACTAAGTTTATTGAAAGATCCTAGAGTAACATATAATATAAACCTTATCCAAAAAAAAAACATATAGACTACCTACTGCTAAAATCCTGAATTTACTCTACTGTCAATCGCATAATCCTAGAGAGTGAGCTACAAAATGCATAAATCTAGTTGGAGGCAAGCATTGGTATAGTAAAACAAGTATACCTCCAAACAAGGAAATATTCAGCTACAAAAAAATTAAAAAGTAATTTCAAGATAAAGGTGGTGCATGGATCTATTAATCGAGTTGAGAAAGAACAAAAGAAACTAGATAGAACCCCATGAACATAATTTTGTTCTCAACGCATATATACGTGAAATCCCAATTGAAAAGGAAAAGAATCCATGGACATACGATTGAGATTGTTGGTATAAACACAAGATGGGCAGAACCATGAGCCTTGAGGCACCGACGGAAGTAGGGGATTGAGGCAAAATAGGTGAAATCCCATATCACAATTGTCACACAGCAAAAGTTTATCCGCATTATCGCCTGATCCACATTTCTCACAGCAACTGTCGCTGTAATCCTCATCTGCTTTTTTCCTTGATTTGTACTTTTTCCTCAATGCGGTGGAGACGGGTTTTGGAGCTACGGTTCTTCTCCTTAACACGGTTGATGTTGAAGGAGCCATTGTTACAATCAGGTGAAAGAAGAAATGGGATTTTGGTAAGGTTTTTTGTTTCTTAAAATATAATTTAAAAGAACCGGGAAAGGGATTTGCTTTCAATATCCGCGGGAAACTGTTGTTATTAGCGCCAAAATGTTTTCGGGTCAGTGGGCTTTTCTAGCCTTTGTCACGTGGCCTACATGCTAAACGTCTGGTAAACGCTACCTCAGATTTTGACTACTCATGATAAAATTAATTTAAGTAAAAGAAACAAAGATAAATATACACTGAACTACCAAACAAACTTCATGAGATGGTTAAGTGGTAATATCGGGATAAAACACGCACAACTATGCCTTATAAAAGAATTAAATGGTCGTTGCAAATATAATTCGGTTTACAATTTCGGAGTCGAATTCCACATAGAATTAACCTACTAATTATAACCACTAGTTTCGCAAGAATTCAAGTAATCAACTTCCAAAAATATTGGATAATAAGTTGAGTGTTTACTAACTAAAAGCAAAGTAATTAAAAAGTTGTAATTTTATTACTAACAAAGCAAATGTTGTAGACAAGATTGGAAAGGTCTAGAATTATGATTTCCCTCCATCTTCGGAATCCTCCTCGCTACGTTTTCTATAAATTCGCCTAAGTATTCTCTACCGATCGTGAGTACTTCGGGAATCGTAATTCTCTTTCAAGCAACTACCATAATTTACTAGACGTATTCTTCCGAACTAGGCTAGCTGGCATTAGTTCATTGTTAACTAAGATCGTATCAAGGTTTCGTTATTCCTAATCCCACCTTTAAACCCTCTGTTTGATTCCTCATATAAGTTAGGAGTGATGTTATTTAACAACTACCTGAATGTGTATCCTTTTCCAAGCAATACACACTAAATAGGCGCAGTCAATTGAGGGCCTTTCAATCAACAACAATAATCACATAGTTGAACAAGTAGAGAAAATTCAATGGCAAACATATATTAAACATAATGAAGTTTCATCCTCCAAAAGGTTCCATCAAACTCTAGATAAAATAATTTAGCTACTTGTAATTGTTTGCACAACTACAATATTAGAATTCATCACCAATAATATAAAGAGGAAGAAGAAAGATAAAAACTCGTTTCCGAATCTTCCGTCTTGCTCCTTGCTTGTTCTTGCCTTCGTAGATATTATCTAACCCTTAAAAAGTCATTTTTTGATGTACTTATATCACTTAGGGCTGATATGGGGCGGAACTAATTAATCCAAACTCAAATGGGAAAATCTGGATCAGTGTCTACGCTTGTGCACCCATGGACACAGATTTAGCTTTTGAAATTCTTCCATTTCGCGAAGTGATTCGTGCCTTTGCTTCACTTCACTATTTTGTACCTTTAGTTTTCTCCTTTTTCGCGTCCGTTTTCATGCCTTCACTTCACTGTTTTGAAATTCTTCCATTTTTTGTTTTGCAAAAATTTGATATTTTTTGATCAATTATCATCTGAACTCACTCCTACACATAAGGAATACGTAATGAGTATATTTCACTTCAAAAATTATATAATCCCACATAACTCGCACGATAAATAAGATGAAAATACCCTCAAAATCATGCACTTTTGGTCATTTATCACCACCCCACGCTTAGACTTTTTCTCGTCCTCGAATAAAATTAAGTACGTCGATAAGAAATAAATTTTCAAACCTACTCAAGCATCATGCCAATGACAATGATTTATATCAACGCTTAGAACCTAGCATAAATACTATTCATACTTTTCCTCAAGCTTTCCTTCATGCCAAGACTAACTAAAATAACTGTGTGACTCTCTCTAACATCCTAGCCTCGAAATTTGACTCCAATACATTCCAAACTAAGACTCGCTTCTTGTGCCAACTCAAAAATCAAGGACTTTACCAATCTCCTGCAAATCATGCGCCCTCACCAATAAACCAAAAAGAGAAAGTAGTCCACACACTCAAACATAAGTTCGAGTATATTTTAAGGACTATCGAATCGAAAGAATTCGTTCACTCTCACAAAAATAACTCATATGCCACCCAAGTTCATACCATGGGCATGCCCATAGCGTAAGACTCGGCTAATATTAAGCTTGCATATGCTCGGATCAAGTAGGACTTCATATGTTGTAATGTAGGCTAAGGGACATATAGGATATATTTGGGAAAAATAGTGAATAGCCCTCCTAAGCACATTAATACACTATACTTCACTTTCAAACACATTCTCGTCACGACCAAGTCCGTGTCATACCACAAACCAATATACAATTAGGCCCTTCTTCTTTAAGCATATCATCACGTAGATGTTCACTAGTCCGGATCAAGACATGGGAGGTGTACTACATTTTTTTTTGTTTGTGTTTTCTTCAAAAACTTTTAACACTCCCTTTAATTTTGGTGTTTCCTGCTAGTAATTCATTTTAATACAACGCACCTTCTCGGCCTTCCTATGGTTCAACTCAAACGCTACCCGGTCTCTCTCTTTACTCTTATAGCGACTTAAGTGCTTTCGGAGGTGCAGAATGTGATGATCCGATAGGTCATTTTGAGATTTAGCCTTTATTTCCGCATTCCGAGACCTCGACTAGATCCGTTTAGCGTTCCTCGATTTGGGTGCACAGTCCGTGTCTTGTTCCGGAAAGTTTTTATGTGGAAAATTGAAGAAAATGTGAATTTTTACCTTAAAAATGATTTGAGTTGACTATGGTCAATATTTTGTGTATTGTTGACTAGGACTGGGCAAATATCGGGTATAACCGATAAAATGATATTGGGTTATCGATATCGGGTTATTGGATAATTAGTTCGATAGCAGTTTAATATTATTTGACTATTGGGTTATCAGTTCGGGTCTCGGTTTGTCAATTTTTTTAACGGTTTAACCGATAGCCTAGTATGCTTTAACAAAATTATAATTTTACCCACTAAGTATATAAAGCCACCTTATGGCTCTATTCTCTTGGCAGTTACTCTTCATCTTCAGGCCTTAATCTTTAGAGTAAGTTTTAAACTTTTCCGAATTTCTCATCTTAATTCTCCAGTTAAGATTTTTAGTTTTAAACTTTAAAGAATTAGTTGTTCAGATTTTTAGTTTTTCTATTTATTTCTTTTGTTGCACTAATTCTCTAGTATTTACAAGATTAGGATTTTATTATTTTTCTATGAATTATGACCGCTCGCAGTGAGGTAGTTAGTAAAGTTAGATTATTGAATGTCTTATTCCTTACTCCTACTAACTTATAACTTTAAAAATTCAAATCATTCATTGGGATTTCCAAATGCAAAGAAAGTTTTCTTTTCTAAAGTTAAATTTACTCACTCTTTTCTTAAGAGCAAAAATTTAGTTCCTTTCTCTTATGATCACGATTTCGATAATAAAAACATAAATTTTTAGATATTTTTGATTCTTATCGGGTAAACCGATAACCGAACCGATAAGGATCGATAAACGACTAACTGATACCCAATAATCGACATCTTATCGGTTAGATTATCGGTTTAGCATATTAATAAATCGATAACCGATATGTTGAACCAATAACATTCACAACCGAAGTGAACTGACCGATGCCCACCCCTATTATTGACAGAGACTTGAGGTACAACTGCACATCGTTCGCAGCCTTAAAGTCCCCTTTTTTCCTAACTTTGTTGTTTTACTGAGTTATAAAATAGTGTATTTTATTCAGACCATGTTTGTAGTACTCTAGATGTTCATGTAGTCCCGGCACCAGTTTCTGGGTTATGTTTAGACTCGTTGTTTCGTATTATTATTTATACTAGACTTCAGACTTGTACCGTTTTTATTGTTAATATCTTGTCGTAAATTATTAAAATCAGTAAATTTTTCGTTCACGCCGGCTTGCCTAGCAAGTAGATGTTAGGCGCCATCATCACCCCGAGGTTGGGATTTCGGGTCTTGACAAGGGTGAACAAGATTTGATTAATAACAAATGGGTATTCAGCTTGTAATGTGGGTGCCAAGAAAAATGTCTACATGGTCAAAAGGGTTGAATATGGATAATATTAGCATAAGTAGGCAAAAGAGGCTCAATAGTCAATCAAAGAAATGCCTATATCATCTCCTAGCCTTACGAGACTTAATCATTACGCTTCGACTCACATATAGGACAAGTTCTAGACTAGCCTGGGATAGCATAGAGTATAACCAAAATTCTCACCTCGCACAATACACATGACCCACTCAAGACGACTCAAAACCGATTATGAAGTTAAAGCAACTAAGCACAGCCATCATAAAACTAAACCATATAGGAAGTACATAATATGAGTTAAAAGATGAGCCCAAAAGTCGAATAAAGTCACATATATTCTTAAGGCACATAATCACTAGAATTACGAGGGAAGTGCTAAGGACAAATGCTCCAGGTCTAAGTCCCGATATAAAATATGTCACGAAGCACAAACTCAAGATCTTCCCATTCCATTAACAGTTCAAAACGAACAAAGGAAAAAAATTATTTTGTATTTTTTTCTCTAGACTTTAATCCCTCAAGAAGACTGTCTAGAAAATTCATCGTCAGGCAAAGTCCACCAATTTTTTTACAAAGTTAACAAAAACTACATTAAAAAAACTACCCGTTTCAAGAAAATGGCATCCCTGGGAAAGAACCGTAGTTTAATAAAAAAACCGGGATTATGCCAATAAAAAGCTAACTACGATTATACAATTACAATGGCCTTAAGTGTGATCATAGCAAAATCTATCATTAGCAATTAAGCACATGCCACAAAAATAAAATTCTGACACCCCCACCCCACACTTAAGAGAGTGCACTGTCCCTAGTTGCACAATATCACAAAAACATACAATAAATGATCAATAGTAGAGTGGGTGTAAGGAACTCCCTCATCATATCTCAGGTTGCAGGGAGGATAGGTCACGAACCTCGGTCCTCAATGATGATGGATCCTCCAATGCGACACCAGATGTGTCGATGACTGCTATCAGCTCACCCTCCGTAGTCAAAGCAGCAACCCCAACAACCTCCTCTCGAACCTCAGTCG